TGTTTATTTATTTATTTATTTATTGTATCAGGAACCAAACTCAGGGCCTTGTGCTTGCCAGGCAAGCTCTTATTCCACTAAGCTATCTCCCAGGGCCCTAAGAAACTCAATTTTAAAGTTGATTCCTTAGACAAAAGTTGACTTCTGGGGCTGTGGAGATAGCTCAGCTGTCTAAGTGCCTGCCTAGGCAAGCATAAGGACCCAGGTTTGATCCCCACTACCACATGCTGTGCCTGCCCTGCCCCAGGTTCCCGTTCCAGCCACCAAGACCAGGTGTGGTTGTGCACACCTGTAATCCAGCTGTGTAGTGAGACCCTGTCTGTGCCAAATACATTAAAAAAAAAAAATCTTTTAAAAAAATTTTTAAAATATGACTTCTGTCATATTTAAACTTCCAAGTTCATTTAGTCTTTCTAAACAGACTGTTTTCATGGCCTATGGATTATTTTTAACAGTTTTTTTTTTTTTTTGCCCTTGTATTTAGGACAGGGTCTACAGAGTCTCACTCCGTAGATCGGACTTGTAGTGATTCTCTTATTTTCAGCCTCCCAAGTGCTGGGATTACAGGTGCACGGCCCCATGCCCAGTCTCAATCACCCTCAGGGCTGGCATGGCACACTGGGGTAATCGAAAGCCAGCCAATACACTCTGCCTAAGCAGGTGCTTTAGTCCACTGAACTATCAGGCCGGCCCTTATTTTTAACAGTTTTATTTTGCTATTTTTCCTTCTTAGTTTAATGTTCTAAAAATATTTATAAGTGTTCTGATTGCAGAATAAAAATACATGTAGAAAAGTAGTTGTTGAAATTAATAGTTTTCGGAAATAGCTTGTATGTATTTTGACTGGTTGATTTCCAAGAGAATGTAACAACCAGAAGAAAAAAAGAAATTGATAGTGTGTACTTATTGACAACTCCTCCAGTCACCCAGGCCAGTCCCTTTGTCGCTTGTGTACATTTAGTCCTTAGAGAACATCAGTTCTGTCTCATAAACATTGATCTGGTCAGTGCTTGTCTGTCATTTGTTTAAATTAACTTTCTTATCTTGCAGGTATGAGTCTTTTTCCTGTTGTCCTAAATTTTTTTTTAACCCATCTTGCATCTCATCACATGACTCTTAAAACAAAAACTTTTGATAATTTTTACTTTCTAAGGAGTAGTCCAAGCTTTTTATCAGTGTTTACATGTCTGCATAACTGGCCTTGCCCTGAAACTTTCCCTCTTGGTACTGTACCAGAACAGGTTTTGAGTGTTCTCTTAAAAATGTTGGTATCTTTACCGCCACAGTGTTGCTCCTACTTTCAGATAGTCCAGTTTGTCTTTTATGTCCCTGCAGCATTTCAAGATACAGTTCAGATATTACTGTGTCTGCGAGTTTGGTTTTGTTTTTTGTTTTTTGTATGTGTGTGTGTATTTTAGTTTAGGGTTTACAGGGTCTCATTATACAGATCTTCCTGTTTTCAGCCTAGCAAACACTGGGATTATAGGCATGTGCCACCATGCCCAGTCTCAGTTGCATTCTCAGGAGGCCCCTGGTGGCACGGCGGGCACAGCATGCTGGGGATAGAACCCTGGTCTCTGTGTCTGCCTAAGCAGGTGCTTTAGTCCTCTGAGCTATCTGGCTGGCCCTCTGTGAGGCTTTTTACTTCGCACTTTTTTATTAGTGTATGTTAGCTATGCATGTCACATACTGTATTTTCACACTTATCCCTTCTCATCACTCCCTTGTTCTGAGAGCCATTTAAAAACTTCTATTCTCCTATATGGGGCTTTTCTTAAGGAAGCTCCTGCCTCATAGGCATCACATGTTTAAATTAATAACATATCTGTAGACTTTGAATAAAAATTGTAACATAAGACTGGGCATGGTAGCGCGTGTTAAGGGGGAAAAATTGTATTGTGAAGAAATTTAAGAATTTTTCTGCCAAACTGTTGATGGATTCTTTTGTTCTTTGCAATGAAGATTTCTGTTAGTACTTTGGTCTAGATCAGCAATGAGCTTTCAGTAGTGTGATGCAGCACATGTGCCCTAAGTTTAGTGCCATTGGTGTAGATCACTTTAGGTGGCAAATTAAAAATATAATGTAATAGTTACTTCCTGCTGAGTACTTTGAGTACTCCAAGTAGCTATTTCCTTTGTGTAGCTATTACTAAGTTTTGTCTTGCAACTGGAAACAAACTCATCCTTTTTTTTTTTTTTTTTCCAAAGAGATCACTTTGGCGTACTATAGTAAACGTGAACCATTTTGTGATATTTAATGTTTTAAAATTCCTATTAAAGATAGCGTTAAAGTTATTTCAAATGTTTGGGGACTGTATTTCTTTTTCCCTCTCCTTCTCCTCCCCTCCTCCATCCTTTCCCCATCCCTCCCTCTTCCCCCATCTCTTCCCCTCCTCTCCTTTTCTCAAGAAGGTCTTGCTGTGTAGTTCAGGCCAGTTTTGAACTAAGTATGTAGCCCAGCAGACCTTAGTCTTTCTGTAGTCCTGTCTCAGCCTTCTGAGTGCTGGGACTACAGATGTGCCTTACTATTCCCAGCAAGGGCATTTGTTTCTAATAGTGAATCTTTGTTGCCTCTCTAGTTTCTTAATATGGTTGCTTTTGACAGCTTGCCAATTCTTTAAATACTACTTTCTCTGTAGATGTTAAACTTTGACTAAATTTAGTGAGAAAGTTATGAAAGTAAAATTAGAATATTTTGTCCAGTCATATAAGAAGAGTACTTGAAAATAAGGCTAAGATTATCTGTTGGTTAGTTTTAGGTGAATATCTTCAAATAGGTAGGGGTTTTGTTCTTAAGTAATATAATTTAATCATAATATACAATGATGTCTTTATATCTAGAAAAAAGCAGAAGAAGCGCATAAAATTTTTGAAGGTCTGGGCCCAAAAGTTGAACTGGTAAGTAAGAAATTTTTTTTTTTTTCATTTCCAGTGCTATTGTTATAGGAGGGAGATCAAGCTCTAACTTGAAGTGCGATATAGTTTAGGATGAAAGGGATGTGTGTAGATGGGCTAAAAGTTTTAAATAATGGTGAATGAAGTTAGTTACCTTTGAAGAGGCATTATTACCTGAGCAGCTATTAATCACTTGCAGTAGAAGGAGGAAGGATTATGAACGTAGAAAATTCAGCCGGGTGTGTTAGCATTTGCCTGTAGTCCCAACACTCTGGGAAGGTAGTGCAGGAGGATCACAAGTTGGAGGCCAGCCAGAGCAATTTAACAAGACCCTGTCAAAAAAAAAAAAAAAGGAAAAAGAATTGAAGATGGAGGTCAATGTAAGTCTTGAGTTCATCCAACACCACAAAAATAAGGAAAAAGAAATAAAACCTTTGACTCATATAATTAGTGTAATGACAGTGCTGAACCTTCTATTGTTTTTGAAATTAAATATCTGTCTATAAATAAACATCAGAATACAGTGCATTTATAAGGGATTTTTTGTTGTTGTTGTTGTTTGTTTGTTTTGAAATTTGAGAGAGCATCTCACTGTGTAGTGCAGACTAACCTGGAACTCACAGTGATCCTCCTGCTTTAGCCTCTCCAAGTACTAGTAATACAGATGTGTGACACCATGCTTGGCTAAGTTTTTTCTGTCTTTTTTTTTTTGAATGAAAATGGTGTCTCGTTTTGATCCCTGGCCTACCATGCTGGCTCTGCCCCTGGGCACCCTGAGACAGTGATTGAGACTGGGTGTGGTGGTGTGCACCTGTAATCCCAGAGCTTGGGAGGCTGAAAAACAGGGAGGATTACTAGGAGTCTGATCTGTGTAGTGAGACCCTATAGACCCTTTAACTAAATACATGAAGGAAAAAAAAGAGAATGATGTCTTTAGGAGAAGAGATTATTTAGGGAATCTAGACTGAGTACTTTAAATAGTCTCTGGGCTGACTACTTTAAAATAGTTTCTTTGTCTCTTTATAGATATGTACATTTTATACATAAATGTTTGATATATTTTATAGCCACTCTATAACCAGCCATCGGATACCAAGGTGTACCATGAGAACATCAAGACGTAAGTGTTTATAACCTTTGGAGTTCTTCAGTTTAAAACCATATATTCTATAAAGAGATCATTTTTATGTTATCTGCTGAAATTATTATAATAGCGTAGATGTGTTTTAGATTTGTGTAATTTACTGTTGTTTTACTATGTTATCTTCCACTGGCTTCTTTGGGGGTTGGGGTAACAGCTTTGAGTTTCCGAGGCAAAAAATAAAATGAAATAAATTATTGCATAAAACTAGCTGGTTTTATAATCTGCTAGTAAAAAAAAAGGTGGATACTTAAGATTGAAATGGCTTACCTTGAGGCTTGAATTTTTTGCCTCCTGTTTTGTCTTTTTTTCAGTGGAGTACCTGCAAGGCGCATGATGAAGTAAGATAATGAAGCTTTTTCATTTAAGACTAGTGATGACACCGTCCCCTACCAAGCCACATCTGCCATTGCAAAGTAGAAGTGCCACGGATCATTTTATCATTATTCAAAATCCTATTCTAGGGAAATCCCTTCCATGACTCTTGCTAATGACGGTATTTGTAGATCCTTCTGCCATTTAATGTCCTGGTGCCTTGGAAGCCCTCGGTCACCTCATGTGGGTGAGGAGGCTGTTCCAGAATGTAGTTTGCTTAGCCTTGCTCATCCTAGTACCAGGCTTTCATGGATACAGATCTTGGAATAAGAAAATAAGTGAAAAGAATATCTGATTTCTTGATCTGATTGAAGTAAGAAAGGAAGCTAGATAGATATCCTTTTTTCTTTAATTATCATACTTTAAGAGCATTTTAGGTGACTTACTCTTTGTGACAAAAATGTGGTTTTTTTTACTTTATATGTTTTGTTAAGTGTAACCAGAGCATTATAATTACCAGTATAGTTACTAATGAATATGTTGCTATTTATACATATTTTTTCTTTTTTAAAATTTGTGAGTGTGTGCAATAGTTGACTACTTTGCAGAACTGGTGGCAAATATAATTTGCATGGTAGTATGCATGAAAACCATTAAATTTTAATAATTTAACTTTTGTTAATTAAACGGTTCGTAGTAATAGTCATATACTTAAGAATTTTCTATGAGATACTGCTGTCATCTTGACAATCCTTAGAAGTAGATTAGGTGAACTTATAAAATATATCTTTGTTTTAGAAATGTTTAGCTATTTTAACATTTTTAAAATGGAGAATAGCAGATAAAATCTAGTTGGCTACTTTTAATGACTTTTTCCTACAAGGCTTCAGTTTATATTTGTGTTGTCTTCTCCCTCTCACTGTAAGCTGGAGAGCAGCTCTATCTTGATTTTTTTCATGTTATTCACTTTGCCTATTTATTGCTTATCACAGTGTCCTGAGATGGTTGACTTGGCTGACTTCACTTAAATTCTCAGGAAGCATTTAAAATTGTATTTATTGATTGTCATTTGCTTTTGAGTACTACCTACTCACAGTTAGAGAAAATTGAAGATATGGTAATGCTCCCAATGTGCGCCATCTTTTGAAATTGTTTATCAGCTGCATGCATCAATATGAATTGTTCAATAGCTTTTCTTTCGTCATCGTCATTTGCATTGTATGAAATAGCAAATGTACCTTTAAATAATTTTTTGCATCTCTTGGCTACTTTTTTATATAGCCAGCTCCTGATTGTCCATGCTTATTTGGTGGAGCCAGTGTCACTGTTAGTCCAAGTGGCAGATAATCCAAAAAATTACTTCTACTTGCCTTGGCTTTGTATTTGTATTTGAATAATCTACTTGAAACCCTTTCTGGAAGTAGGTGGGGTATAAATATTTATATTTGAATCTGCATGTCATTGTTTTTGAAGGTTATAATGCTTCCAATTTAAAAAGATAAACCTGTTAAGATTCAGGGAAAAATCTTTCTGTCTTGTCACATTGCCCTCCATTACTTCTTAGAGTACATTGTGGTGTTCTTGTGATGGAAACAAATCTTCTGTGTAAAGCAGAAGTCGCCTCCTCTAAGTGCTTTGATGTATGGTCTCCTCACAGAAGGAGACCAACCTCTAACCTTATGAAAGGAGGTACCTAGGAAAGCTTCACCTTATCTTCTACCTCCCTCTTAAAAATATACAAAGATATTAGTGTCACCATTTCTTAACAAGAATCATGTCTGTGTAATTAAAGTTGAAAATAATATATACTTTATAATGAAATGTCAATTAAAAATTAACTGATATATCATCTTCATGTTCAATGGGGAGAATTCTAGTCAGCTCTAATTACTATAAGAACTATACATTTTTGGAGGGGTACAGGAATCAAACTTGACCTTAGGCTTGCCAGGCACTGTATCAGTGAGCTAAATCCCTGGCAGAATTCTAAATTTTGCAGGGTGAAAAATTAGGATTAGTTGCCATCATAAATTCTTAAGTGATCTTTGCCTGTTTTACAGTGTTTCTGGAAAAAATGAATACATCATTATACTGTGCTTTTTCTTAATATCATGCAACCATATTTTTCTTTTCTAGAAACCAGGTGATGAGGAAAAAACTCATTTTATTTTTTAAAAGAAGAAATCATGCAAGAAAACAAAGGGTGAGGTCCTATCCTTGTTAACTGAAATTTGTACAGCTTCCCCATTCATGCTCATTTAGGCATTCACTTTCCCATTAATGAGAATGGTTCTGGATTATAGTAGAAATAAATTCTGATTTAGGAAATAACTGCACATGTAACTTAAATATAAATCTAGTAATATTTAATTATATATTATAAAATTAAGTGGTCATCTATATATAATATTTTATAACTTTGTGCATCTGTGTATAACATTTCCTTTCACCAAAGTAAAGGAAATGGTGAGTGGTTTAAAAAGATAGTAAAGACAAATAGAATCATCTGCGTGTAGTTTCATAAGTTTCAGAAGAATGTGGGTAAGTGTTAGTCCTTCCAATCAAACATAGCTGTTTCTTGTGAGAAATTGGGACAGCTACAGTTTGGCCTTCTCAAATTAAAATAGTTTCTTGTATTTAATTATATTACTTGCTGGACAAAATTTGTGGCTATAGTTTCACAAAATACATCAATATTATTATTTTTATATGGTCATACTAATTTTACAGAACTCGATACATTTAAATTTAAGCATTTAATAAAACTTAAAAATCCATAAAAATAAACTTTGTACCTGACATTTAATGACCTGACAGTTTAATAAGTTATGAAGTCCAAGAGGCACCAAATTTATGTGAAATTTATAATGTTCTTATTGGCTAGTTTATTCCTTTAGATACTACCTTAAATTACTGCTTCTGAGGTTATTATATTGCTTAGAATACATAGATATTAATTTCTTATTAAGTAAGAAATTAATTTCTTATTAAGTAAGGAATTAGCTTGTATGGTTTTCCTCCTTGTCTAGTCATTTTATTATAATAGGTGGTACTGGCTAAATTAGCTGTCTGGTGATATAACCACAGGAACATCAACTTCTTTTTCACACTTCAGTCAGTCATTATAAAGTTTGTGTTCACGGATTTGATTGTTTATGGGCTGCATACTTTGGCTTATGTATTATTCTACAAAGATCAATAAGATAGCCATATAATTTAGATTTTAAGATATGTGTCAGGCAAGTACATGTACTGTTGTCATGCACCTAACAGCTTACTGTGAGAACATGCTGTAACGTGCTGTCACAGTTAGGGACATCTAATGCAGCTATGAATCAAAAAGGTTCATTACACAGTAAAAACTGATTATCTGAAAACTTGTATAAGCAGAGAAAACAAATGAAGTGAAATAGGAGCAGGCAGGCTAGAGCTTGGATTAAGCTAAGAGGGTGGGCTGATAAATGGGTCTGCTAAGGGAAGCGAGGGGTAGGTCAAATACTGCCTTGAAGGTCACCTAGGAAATTCAAATCAGATAATAATGCTATCTTTTAAGCTGTTAATACAGGAGGTATAATGCTCAGGTTTGTATTATAAGAATTTGTATGTAGCCACACTTTAAGAATGCAAGGGAGACCCTCAACAAGCCTCCATTGTTTTAAGTTGGTGAATGTTGGCCAGGATCAAGGAAGTAAAGCAGTAAGAATGGAAAAAAGGTAAAGATCGGAAAAGGGATATAGGCATTGAAAAACGTGATTAGAAAGGAGTATTGTGTGCTTGAGAGGTAATCATATTTTTACCAATGCCTCTGTCTTCAGTTGATCGACATTGACAAGTTTTCCTGAGTCCCTCCTTGCTTATCTCTGTCCACGTACTGTCAGATTTGTACCCAGCTGTGTATGTCATGAAAGGTTCTTCTTTTCTGGTTAGAGAATGAGATCTTAATTTTCTTATCTATATACATTTATTCTTTTTAAAAAAAATTTAAAGAGAAAAGTAAAACAAAATTTTAAAACAAAATAATAGTAGGGTAACCGTGAGTAATACATTACATATTGTTGCCGTTAAGTTAGAGTACAAGATATTGGCATTTAATTATCCAAACAATATTAGCAGAAACGTTTCTTTTGAATGAACTAAGAAAAATTAGTAGTATAACCATCTTATTCTGTCTTATCTAAATTGTTTTTCCCTTCTTTTCGCCATTCTGTCATCCCCGTTTCCTTTCCTTTTGAAGTTTCATTCCATTTTACAATATCTGTTGTCCATTTTGGATCTTATTCTTTCAACTTCTCACACTTGGGAGACAATACAATGTTTATACATGTATAAATGGGATTTATACATGTGCGATATGCCATTGTGCTGTGTTTCTGGTTTATTTCACTTAATGAATATGGTTTCAAGTTGCATCCATTTAACTACAGAAGTCTCTACTTTATCCTTCTTTATGGCTGAATAGTGCTCCATTGTATAAAAAGACCACATTGTTTTTATTCATTCCTTGGGTGATGGAATTTGGGTTGTTTCCAAGATCTAGCTATTCAAATTGTGCTGCTATAAACATGCACATATATCACTGTGGTACTATGTTTTTAATTCTTTTGGGAAGACACTCAGAAGGGGAATAGCTGGGTCAAATGGGACCTCCAATTCTAGTTTTTTGAGGAAATCTCTACATTGATTTGCACAGTGGTTGCAACAGTCTACACTCTCACCAGTAGTGGAGAAAGGTTCCTCTTTCCTTATAGCTCCTTCAGCATTTGTTTGGGTTTATTTATTTATTTATTTATTTGTGTGTGTGTTTGTGTGT